ACTAATCCTCAAAGCTAGAAGATAGGAGACTTTCTAGTGAAAATGACTTTAAAATATAGTATTGGGAAATACTTTAGATTTCTTTCAACCAAAATGTTATTACATGTACATAAAAATCAGGAAGCTGCTGGGTTCTGGTGTGGTTTCAGAGATGAGAACTGCATAGTATTTCTCTCTTACTGTAAGATAAAAGCTCGAAAAACTGCAAATTGGTGACTTTTACATGAGATAATTAATATTGCAGAACAAAATAAGTTAACTGAAATCAAGAACAAGAAAAGTACTCTCATGGAGGAACAGGATCTAAGGATCCTTTACTTATTTGAGACATAAGATGCTAAATGCCATGTAAGCTATCAAGAAGAGTCAATTAGAAATATGTAACTAATTGCTAATGTCTGAGTTTGGGTGTATGTGAATATTGGAAATCACATAGGGACATAGGCAAATGTAAGTTTGCATTTTCCTGCAGGATTCTTCTCTAGGGAACCACCAGGTGCTCACAGGGAATACTGGAGAGAATTCTGAGAAAGCTTCCTTCATACTTAAGGCTAGAGAGTGATAAAGAATCCACTGCCTCCTGGACCTGGCGGCTTAAAAATCATGCCAGGCACACCTGTGTGCATGCCCAAAATCATGACAGGAGAATGGAAGAGAAGGGATTGCCGCGTGACTATCACCCTGGGAGGTATTTTTCACTTTCCCTCTCTCTGTCTCTCTCTGTCTCAAGTGAGTACATGCACCCTAGGACAAAAATCTTAAAAAAAAAAAAAAGAGTTCACTGCCTAACATTCAAGCAGTCTCATCTCTTCAATCTCACCTATAGAAACTTTAATATGGACATGAAGGTCATAAAGACCTGTAGCCTGAAGGCATGAATAGAAACCCTTGTAGCTCTGGGAAGAGCAATAACCTCTTGGGGAAGAGCAGTATGAAGCCAAGCATTAGGTCTGAAGGAGCAACAGGGACATCTGTGAAGGCCTCACACTCAGTACCCTGTTTATAGAAGCTGCTTGAGACTGCTGCTTAATCAGGATACCACAGAATGAGCCCTTCCACTCTTGGCCCCAGCCACTATACTCAGAACACTCTGGTAGCAATACCAGGAGGATACAGCTAGGAGAACTGCAAGAGAGATGCTTTGTGGTAAGCAGCACAAAGTGGAAACCCAGAGTCAGTGGGGAGTACAAAGTCTGTCAGGAAGCACACAAATAGAAACAAAAAACAAAACCAGAAACCTTCGGTAAATTAGCTAATACCATGAACACAGGGTATCACTAGAAATTCAAGCATTTGAGGATGAGCATACCAACACAAGATTGCACCCATTCCAACTCATAAGTAGATTAATAACAACAAAAAAAGTAAGGCCTAGCAGAAGGTAAAGTGTACATTTTTCCAAGCATGCAAAATGTTTATCAACTGTTGTATACAACAGGTCTGCCTTTCCAAAAGCAGTTTCAGTGGCTGGCAGGTGGCATAGTGGTTGATAGAGGTTCACGTCCAGGACCAGCAGCTTCCTTACCATCTCTTTCTCTTTCTCTCTCTCTCTCTGTCTCTCTCTAGTCAACTTCAAAAAAAATAAAATAAAATAATGACAATGACTAAAATTAAATAAAATAATTATTTTTAAAAAAGCAGTTGCAAATATTATATATTAAGACTACAAAGAATTGAAAATAACTATGATGGATTGGACCAATAATGTAGTGGTTAAGTATTGTGCAGAGGAAATTAAACCCTGAATGGCCAACTTATATATATATAAGTCTTACTCCAGTTAAATCCCGACAGAATGGAGAAATGGAGAAAAAAAGAACTTAAGTGTAGTTATGTCTCTACTGGGGGTGCACATGCACCCTCTGGAAAAGAAAAGAAAGAAAAGAAAAGAACTATGATTTAACACATTATTAAAAGCTCTAATGGGAAACTTAGACAAATGGGAGATTCAATGTTAAATTTCAGCAAAGATACTTAAAGTATAAAAAAATTTTAAAATGCCAGTTACAAAGAATCCCATTTTGATACACTCCACAGTAGATGTAAGATGCCTGAGGAAAATAATCAAGAACTTGTAAACAGGTCAATAAATATTAGTATAGTTGAAATGTAAAGAGATTTTAAAAATGGGGGAAAAAAGGAACAAACATTGAAGAGTTGTGTGACCATATCAACTGGTCTAAAACATAGGTAATTAGAATGTCAAAAGAAGAAGAAATAATAGCACCAAAGAAGTACTTAAAGAAATGCTATCAGAGGGTTTTCTAATGTTAGTTATAGACATTAAGCCAAAGATCCTAGAAGCTGAGAGAATATTAAATGTGGCAAATTTCAAGAAAATGTATTTACATATATCCTATTCAAACTGATTAATGCAAAGTGCTAGGTTTGTATATCCCCGCCAAAATGGATGTTGAAATTTAATTGTCTCTGAGATAATATTGGAAGGTGGGACTCTTAGAGGTGATAGGTCATGAGGAATCAACTGCATGAAGAAATTAACACTGTTTTCCTAGAAGTAAATTGATCATTGCAGACGTGACTTTGTTATTAAAATGAGTTTTACCTAGTTTGAGTTTTCTTGCTTGGGGGTATCTCTCTCTCTGTCTCTGTCTCTGTCTCTCTCTCTCTCTCTCTCATGCTTACTCTATCCTTCTGCCATTGGACAACTCTTACCAGATATAGTGCCATTCCTTGGGCTTCTCAGTCTTTAGAACTAAGAGGCAAATAAGCTTTTGTTCTTTATTAATTACTCAATTTCATATATTCTGTCACAGCAATAGAAACTGAAATAAAACACCAGGCAAGCAAGGAAACACACACACACACACACACACACACACACACACACACACGTACACACAGACACAGTAACAAAGAGAAAATCTTAAGATAGTCAGGTATGGAGAAAAATATAATTTATAACAACACTGAAAAATGAAATGCTTTGTGCTTTGTGAACAATATAAATACTAAAAATGAAATAAAGCTAATGGGGCAAAAATCAAAGATGGTCTAAGTAAATAAAGACACAGAGATCAGGGCTTTAAATATTTGTTATCTGAGATGTCAAGGCTTACCAAACTGGCCTGCAGATTCAAGACTACCCTAATAAAAATTCAAACAAGTTTGACTATATTTGATTCCTATTGGTGCTTGACCCCTGAATACCTCTGACCAGAAAGACTGCAAGTTGTTTAACTTTCACCAGTAATTTTACTCTTACCAACAGCTGCTCAAGGGTCCTCTAACCTGTGATCTTCCAAGGGTACTTCAGTCTCAAACTGAAAGTTTACCATTGACTTCTTTGCTTCTAAGTCTTACTCCAGTTAGACAGCCTATGGTTGGACTTCCCTGACTTGTGATCATGTGAGATAACTCCCACAGTGAATTATTTCTTTTGTACATATTTATCCTCTTGGTTTTGTTTCTCTAGAGAACCATGACCAATACACACACATATGTTACTGCACAAGTCTGAGAACAGAGCTCATCTGCAATTGTCTATATGCATATGACTTCTCTATTTGACCATATGCATACTTATGACTTTACATTTCATCTATCTGCATTTTTATTGTTAGATTGTCTGTATCAATATGACTATTATTCCTGGAATATCTTGCTCAGAAAGATCACTGCTGATGATTATTTTGTTTGTTTCATGAACTTTCTGAAAAAATATCCTACGTGACGAGTTCCCATCTTTTCAGAAGCATAAATGCTTGACCAGCTTAATCAACCACTTAAGATTTGCTTCAAAATACTTGCTTTGCTCTATCCACTGATCCTAAACTACTGTTTTATACTTTATTTAGGGAGCCATAATAAAAAGTCAGATTCCCAAATGAAAAATTCACCTGAAATAATATTAAAAAAAAAAAAAATCCATCCTTCCCTTTTTTTCCCCCTTCCCTTTCTAAGATAGTACTAAGATGTCAAGATAGCAGGTTCTCTTATTGTGGTAAAGTAATATACTTGAATTTCCCTTATAGACATGTTATTTTGGCACTCTTCTTGGACAGTCACTAATTTTTTAGGTCTAAGATCTGAATAAAACCTCCTCTCTAGTACAGTTCATAAGCTTTGAGAGACAGCATGCTCCTTTGACCTTCATTTTTGCCTCCAGCTCAAGGGCCTCCCAGACATCAATAGTTAAGTTTCATATTATATCTGAGCTCTAATTCCTTTTTTAAGTTCCTCAAATTCTGAAGTGTGTTGTTCGTTTGTTTATTAGGAATAAGAGATACTTTCTGACTTTCTAGGAATCCTCTGATCATATGAATTAGAAAATCCTCTAGCCTTGATGGAAACCTTCCTAACTAATAATTTGCTACCACTTTCTTTTCCTCAACTTTATCTGTCTTTGTTATTTTTCCTGTAAATATATAAAAGCAAATTCTTACAGAAAGAGGAGAAACAAATACCCTGCTAAGTTTATTCTTTTAGCCTGTCTGGAGAAGTTTTAGTTTCCTTCTCACACCAAAAACCTTGAACAAACTTAATTACCAGATTTCCCAACTCCTTGCTGAATATTTTAAAGAGCCTGCCAACAAAAGCAGAATAAGTTTCTGAATAAATTGATGACTTAACAAGTGACTAGATGCTCTCATCCATCATTAAAACCAGAGTATTCTTGAAAATGATAATTTTAACACAATTTAAATATACTAGAAACATAGTTGCACCCTTTTAAATAAGAAAAATAGAATAAACATAAAGTGAGATAACTAATGACATTTCTAAAGGGAAATCAAGTGTCTAAAATCCTTGTAATATAAAAGAAATCATCTTTGTAAAGTCCTGATACATAGACCCCATGACATCTGCTGTATATCATGATACTCTGGTTCAACCTCCCTATGGGAGCCAATAGTTGTCATGTGCAAGGTTATCGCTAATAACTCTCAAACACTTTGCATGTATCAGCGTTGAACTGTCACCTTTAGACCTTTAAGTGAGAAACATTCTATCCTCCTCTGTGACATCACATCCACCAACCAAATGGGATGGTGTAGAAATCTTCTGTAAAACACATGCTCTCCTGATGGCCTATTCCTGGACACTCCTGAGGACACCCTTGATCATAAGCAGGTCATAGCAAATTTAAACATTTACTTACTTGTACTTTTAACATAAATTAAGGTAAAAGAAGTAGTCATATTTCTGGGAGTAATTTCTACTGATTTTTCACTATTGCTGGGGCCAAACCTATCAGTTTCAGACCAAATCCTCGAAACATTTTCCCAAACTTGCACAATACCCTCTAAAATCAGAACCCAATGAACTACTAAAATAAATAGAAAAACATCTAATAGTGAAATGAATCACCAAACCTACTACTATCCCTTGTAAATCTTCCAGTCTGTAAGTTCGGGGGAAAAAATTATCCAAAGAGCAGTGATATAAATTGGTCCAGAATCCTGAGTGTATCAATCTAGTAACAATATCTGACTTCCCTGTAGTACCAAATTCAAATATCCTTTCTCTTTAATGCACAACAAAGTGTCAAATTTTGCAGCTGTAATTTTCTGTTTCCTTAGCATCTTTTTAATTCAAAGAATCATCTGTTTTCTCCTGAAAAAAAACAATAATATACTTTGGTAATTATGACCATATAATTTATTAAGACACTCTCCTAATTTTAAGTCTTCAACCAGGATTTCATGGATCTTACATTCCCTTACATTCTACTATCTACTTTCTTGTTAGAACTCTAATAGACTATAAGCTTTCTGAAGAGAAGTAAAACATTCTCGGAAGTGTACTGCCCTCAGTATTATTTATCTAAAGTAAATTTCTCATTCCTAAAAATTGTCTTTGTTAGCAACCAAGAGATAATACAGATGATTTGCTGTGTCTTACTGGCTACAGTAGACAATGGTTTCCCAAATGTATTAACTTTTTATAGTTACATAGCAGATTAGCACAAAATAAGTTGTTCAAAGCAATAGGCATTCATTATGTCATAATTTTCATGTCAAAAGTTCTAAGCTAAGTCAAGTGCTCTGTTCAGGGTTTTGTAAGCTGAAATCAAGGTATTAACAGCATTTTTTGTTCTCTTCTGGACCTCTAAGTCTTCTTTAAAGGTCATTAAAGTTAGTAAAATTTAGTTCCTTATCATTATTATATTGAGTTCCACAGCTTCTAGAGGCTGCCCCCTTACCCTAGCAATTTTCAACATGGCAGGCTGTTTTCTTTGAGACTAGGTGGAAATTCTCTTTGCTTTATGGCTTAAGCCTAAGTCAGTCCCACACAGAATAATATCCCTTTGAATCATTCAAAGTCAACTAAGTACGGATGTCAATTACATAAGAAAAATCCTTTCATCTTTGCCATGTAATATAATCTAATCACCAAATTAAATTCATCATTGCTATGGTTTGAATGTGTCCTCTCAAAATTCATGTGTTAGAGTTTGATTGTATTATGACGGTATTAGGAGACCTAATCTGATCATAGCGTTGAAAGATAGGAACTTCTGGAAATGATTAGGCATCAGGATGGCGTCCAGATGATCAACCCCTGATATGTTTATGAGGAGAAAGAATGAGACCAGAACACAGACACATGGACCTAGAATTCTCTGTTCTGTTCAAGCTCAGCCATGTTATACTACCAGCAGAAAAGCCCTTCCCAGATGCAGTCCATATAACCTTGGATGTCCAAACTGTTAGCTGAATAAAACTTTATTAGCAAAATAATGGATTATATTATGTTTTCATATCACACATATTAGGGGAGAGAATTGTTTAAGGTTATGCATATCAGAGAATTCTAGCTATTTTGTTATTCTACCAACCAGATCAATTTTTAGAAATTGACATAATAACTGTATCACTTAACCACATTTTTGTTAACCAAGTCTCTTTGTAGGAATTTAAGTATTCATATGCATTTGTGCTTTACAAATGAGCTTTTCAACAAATCTCTCCTAATGGGCCTACTTCATCATGAATCTTATTACATATGATTCATCTTTAAGACATTTGAACAAGTAAAATTGCAATTTTTAGTCAACTTTGTAGAATCTTCACAGATCAATACCATGCAACTATTTTCCTATGGAGGTAATGTCAGAATTCTATTCATCTAAATCTGATAATAACAGTTGCCAATTTAGCAGAAGTTTCTAGTAACATGAGTTTGTGGTCCACCTTAAACTAACGATGTGTTATTTTGCCAGTCCTTGCCAACCACCAAAAACATGCGACATTTTCCAGAAAAGTAGGCATACATCCTGAAGTTTTATTATTTTTTCCTCCTACATTTCCACTTATCATCATAATACTTTTAAATCCTGCTATTCTTTTTCTATTAGAAGATAGAAGATAGCTCATGACTCCTAACTGCTCTTTCTTGAATATCTAGAAGATTTATCAAAACATCCTACATTCATTGATTTACCTAAAACTCTTTACTAAATATGTAATGGGAAGAAGGTATAATATTAACTGATTATATATACATACACACACACACACACACACATATATAAATCAGCTGAATGTGTATTTGTGTGCATGTGTGTGCACACAAACGCATCTATCCATATGGTTAAATTTTTAAAGGTTTTCCAAACCAGATTTATATTTCTAGACTATAGATATGACAAATAAATTTTCAATCAAAGACTTTTACGTTTTGCATGGACTTTTAAATATGCAATGAAGCCCTATGGTAAAAATCTTTTAAAAATATGCAATGAAAAGAGAAATAAATTAATACATTAGAAAGTCAGACTCATATAGATACTGTAAAAACTTAAAGATCAGGTCCATTTAGAATCATACTATTGAATTTTAAACTACTAATTACATGATTCTTTTTAACTTTTGGGATATTGGTTTGGTAGAAGTAAACATAAGAATAAAATTTTCCTATGTATTTCTAAATATAAAAACAAATTCAAATCATATGTAAACATATATTTCAAGAAACTAAACTATAACAGTCATCAGAGACTATCAATAAGCATGATGTAAACCCAACAAAATGTTTCTCCTTAACGGCATCAATAGTGACAGTCAATCAACTGTAATGTTCCTACAGATACAATTAGGAGTAGCTCAAGTTCTAAAAATATCATGGAGGATTTCTTGTTTTATCTCTGACATGTAAAGAACCTGGAAGATGTCATAGAAATACTTCCAACAACAACAACAAAAAAAACCAGGACAATTAGAAATCAATTATTTATCTTGGACCCATCTGAGAACAGAAGTCACAGAGAAAAACTGTCACACTAAATTCTGGAGATAGGTAAAGACATGGACATAGCTGGGAACTACTTTTCTGGAGTAGAAATTGCTGAAGTCATAAACTGATCAGAACATTTACAAGGTAATTTTGATGAACTGCTGGAGGCTGACAGTAGACTATCATGAGAGTAAGAAATTCTTTGGAAGAGGTGCTATTTTATGAGGACTCCCACCAAGTTATCACTACGAAAAGGTAAGAGAGATATCCTCATGGTTCCATAGGGGGCAGCGAAAAATGAGTTTGAAATATTGCCAGTTTTCTTTATAACAAATTCCTACTCTTCAGAGGAGATGTCATTATCAAAACTTTATCTCACTTAGGAGAAGGGCATTTTCCCAGCGTATCATGTCTAGCTTCTCTGTCTCATCTAAGAGAATGAGGAATGTAAGAAACACTTGCGAAGGTCAAAGACTAAAGAAAAACTGAAATTTGATCATTGTATTATAAAATGCTCCTTCTCTCCACCTTCTTACCACTACATCAATAGGACTCCAGTGCAATAACATGGATTACAGATGTAAGGGCTAAAGCATGGAGACTTTATTCAAGGAAGAGTTTTTAGGAAAAGCCTAAGAAAACAGGTGAAATAAAAATAAGGGTGCTAATAGATTTTGAAGTCTCTGATGCTTAGAATTATAACAAAAATTAGACACAGCCCCACTCCAAGAAGAGACTAACATAAACTATTACACTAAAGGCTTATTTACATCTGTTTTTATCACCCACTACATCATGTCCAGCTTAAAAAACAAAACAAAACAAAACAAAAACGTTTTTTCAACTCATGTTAAAGGCAAGGAAGAGCAAAGTCTAAAGAGAAAAAGAAGCATCACAGCCAGATTCAGCTATCACAAAGATTTTGGAATTATAAGAAAACTTAAATATGATTACTATGTTGAAGAAAAAAGCAGACAATATTTACATATAATATGTCTGGAAAAAATCAGTATGTCTGGAAAAGAATGGGTGGGTAATGTAAACAGAATGGTAGAAACTCTAAAAAGAATTTATAAAATGTTAGCTACCAAAATGCACAAATGAAAATAAAAAATGCTTTTGATGGGCCCTATAGTATTGGATGCAGCCAAGAGAAGAAGTGAGCTTAATGATATGTCAAAAGAAATTTCCTAAACTGTTAAATAAAGAGAAAAGTAGGAAAAAGAGAACAGAATATGTAGTAACTGTGGTATGAATACAAAAAAGCATAACATATATATAATGGGAATACTAGAAGAAGAAAGAAAAAAGAGAAGAAATATTTGAAGTAATAATGTCTGGGAATTTTCTAACATTAATGAAAGACACAAAAACACAAACCTAAAAAATTCAAAGAACACCAAGCAAGATAAATAGCAAAACTATACATACATGCATGTCATATTCAAATTACAGAAAGTAATACAAAGAGAAAATATTGAAAAAACCCAGGGGGTAAAAATATTTTACTTATGGAGGAATAGGATAAGAATTACAGTGTTCATCTTGTTAAAATCCATGAACACAAGAAGAGAGTGGAATGAAATATTTAAACTATTAAAAAAAAATCACCAAACTAGAATTTCATACCCTGCGAACTTATGCTTCAAAGGTAAAAGAGAAATAAAGGCTTTCTCAAAACTGTCCCTGCTTCTCCCATGGTGCAAATTCGCACCAGTAAACCTGCTGTGCAAGCAATGTTAAAAGAAATTCATTGGTGAGAATGAAAGAACAAGGACTAGTGTTTGATTAGGATTAAATGCAGATAAAATATTTTATTTTTCTTGTTTTTATTTAATCTACATGTTCACTATTTCATCTTAATAACAATAACAATGTGTTAGCTATTTATGGCA